ATTTAAAGTTTAGATGTTAGATATGTAAATTCATAGGCATTGAGTGATGTGTATGTAAATCTTTCTTAATTAATTATTTAATTTTCTGCTTATCCTGAGATCCATATCATTTGTCCTCAGTTAAGCTTAACTCTACAGTACTCCCACCAGAGAAGTATTGGTTGTTGTTAGGTATGACTCTTGGTGAAGAGGTGTGTCTCCTGGTGAAAAGAAGTGTCTCTTGGAATAAAGGGGGTTGTGAGGAGCGAGGGCGTGATTGTAATTTTATCTGAGGGTTAGTATATGTCTATATATATGTGTGTAACCCTATGGGATGTATTGTAACTTTTCTGAAATAGTGAAACCGCTGCTCGATCCTGAGGACGTAGGTAATTCTTTGCCGAACCTCGTTAAATTTATGTGTTCTTCTTCTAGTTTGTGTCGATTTCTGTTTTATTCCGCTTCAATCTTCATAACAATTTTATCACTCAACAAATCATATATAAATATTAAATATATACATGAAAATTATGTCAGCTCTGATGACCTTAGAGGGGGTCAAAAAGTAAAAAAAAAAAAATAAATAAAGTCACGAAGACGACCTCATGACCCAAACCAGAACCTACTAGGCTTAAATGAGATAGGTGTTTGAGTAAATCATTCAAAGAAAGCCGAGAGAAAATGTTGACATATCTATCGGTTTATACAATCCAAGGAAAGAATCTAGTTCCCAGGCATCACATGTCGTGCCACGAATGGCCGGTAGGATTTCTCATAAGGGACCAAGAATTAGCCATACGACCGAGCCTCACAATCATCCCGAATAACTATCTCGTCAATGAATGAGCTGCTTGTCAAGTTACAGTGATTCACCATTTGCACAATAGGCCAGTCACATTCTACCAACATAATCTCCTCATTAAAGACTCGTGGGTGCCGACCCAAAGCTAATTGAATCTTGACAACCAGCTTGAATCCTGACAACCAGCTGCGCCAACTCTGTCAAATCGATCAAATCAGCCTTACCAATGTGGAAACACTTCAACTGGGAGAAGAAGATGTTTGAAAAGGTAATAGCAGCTTTTTCATATTCCTCAAATCAAAAAGTAAACTTTTGTACAAAGGGTAATATATAAAGACGTATAGGAAAATGTTTGTTTTGAGCTGAATGGTGAGATGTATTCTGGTTAGAATCGAACAATTCTGATTCCTCTAGGTTGTGAAGCATGGCAGGCTGGTAGAGAAGTAAAGCTGAGGTTGTTACATCCCCATCAAGCTGATGGTTCGATCAAAAGTAAGAGCTCGTCATTTAATTGCTGAAAATGAGAATTGGAGATAGCCTTTGCAAAGTTGCTGGCAAGCCAGTTTTGAGTGGTGACGTGATGAACTGTGAGGTTTTGTTGTTGTATATAATCACGAATGAAGTGGCAGCAGACTTCTATGTGTTTGGTTCTGACATTGAAGACATGATTGTTGGTAAATATTATAGCAGAGATATTGTCACAATGGAATATTGTGGGTTGAGACTGTGAGGTGTTGAAGTCAAGCATGAGCAACCAAGCTATATAAGATTCGTGGCTGCAGAGGTGATAACGCGGTATTCGGCCTCAGCGGATGATCGAACAACAGTTTCTTGTTTCTTAGCGAACCAAGAGATGGGTGTTTTGTCGAGAAAGGCACAATAGCCAGATGTGGATTTGCGATCAGTGGGGTTACTTGCTCGGTCAGAGTCTGAATGGGCTATGATTTGAAAAGTGGATCGGTGAATGGAAATGCCAACAAATCTAGTTCCATTAATGTAGCAGAGGATTCACTTAAGTTGTTAAAAATATTGGTGTGTGGGTAGCTGCATCTGTTGAGAGGCAAGCTTTGCAACAAATGCAATGTCTGGGTGAGTAAGTGTGAGCTGTTGGAGGGAGCTTACAATTTGGTGATATGTTGTTATATTTGGTGGAAATATAGATTTGAATACCTTTTGGGTGAGCAAGGATTGAGGACCAGTTTGGAGTTGAGCATGTCAGTGGATTGGAGATTGTCGGTGATATATGAGAATTGAGATAAGTGAAGTCCATTGGAGGTGGTGGTTGCTTGGATGTCGAGAAAGTGAGAGAGGGGGCGAAGAGTTTCATAGGAAAATGGGTTTGAAGTTAGTTAATGGTGAAGTTAATGAGAGAGGAATCGGTGCTAGTAAGGATTATGTCGTCTACGTATATGAGCATGTAGAGTTGATGATTGGCACTATGTTGACAGAAGAGATAAGGATTGATGGAGCTGGTCTGAAAGTGAATTGTGTGGAGATAGAAGGAGAGGGGTGGTAAACCATTGACGTGAAGCTTGTTTTAGACGTCACAGGGCTTTTTTTAGTAGCTATACATGATTGGGATAGTTGGGATCGACAAAACCAAGTGGATGGAACATGTGCATGGTTTCAGTTAGGTTGCCATGGAAGAAGGCGTTGGATACATCAAGTTGAAGAATGGGGCAACAATTTGTGAGGGAAACTGTAATGAGAACATATGGTTGGTTGTTTGGCTACAAAACTTCGGTGTAGTCAAGGTCATGTTGTTGTTTAAAGCCTTTAGCTACAAGGTGGGCTTTATAGCGGGAGATAATGCCATCAGTGTTTGAGTTTGGTACGATAGGTTCATTTGGAACCTAAAATAATGTAATGAGGGGAAGGTGGAACTAGGATCTATGTGCCTTGTAATTGTAGAACTTGGAATTCAGTGGACATTGCTTCATTCCATTGAGGGTGTTTGATAGTAGAGGAGTAGCAGGTTGGAGTGGTGATGAGGTGATGAGTGAGGTTGAGTATTTGACATGTTTTGAGAGATCCAGTTTGAAAGCATGTTTGCATATGATGCGTAGATTTGATGGTGGTGTTGAAGTTG